ATTTTCTAGTTTTACCAGTATTACTGTGAACTGGGTTGAAGCCACACAGTGCCCACAAAATATATCAGAGATCACCACCTAGTGGTTTAATGTGAATATTGAGTGTCAATAACACAATGAGGCTAGGATCATAAAAGCAAAGATATTTGATTGATTATTAGCTCTAAAATATCTGTGACAGCTGTGTCTGATTTACAGTGATTTTGAGATGCTTATTGTGCTTGTCTGGGCAATAATTTCTTTAATGTTGTAACACATTTTGTGGTCAACTTGAAAGAGAACTGCTGAAGACTTAGGAAAAGAAAGGAGCCGTGCGCTGAGAATTGTAATGACATTACACTCATCTATCCTTAATAAAATGACGCTGAATGTCTACTGTGCAGGAACTACAATGAGAAGGAGTCTGCAGCAGCACAAAGTCTTCTTTTGACATTAAAAAGCTGTTGGATTCACTGAAAAGGCTGAAGAGTCGGTGACTGAAAGCTGCGAGCAGAAGTATTTATAAGAGTTTTACTTTCAGGTGAAGAATATTTAAATGAGTCAGGCAAATGTGAATTGAAAAGTCTGTGACACAAAGTTTCTTGCAAGCTGCACAAAATTTAACATGAAAAAAACAATCCTGTATTCAGCCTGCGGTGGCTGTGATAGCTGCTAATAGAAGAGTTTATTTTTAGGAGGCGAGATGTTATCAGAACGAGAGAGAACTCTCTGTATTGAAATTCTTCACTCAGTCTTCATGCCAAGTGTGCCCACTCTTTGCTCCTCAGTAACTTAGTTTTCATGAAACAGAGCAGAAATAAACTGAGCTCAGCTTATTTTTCTCAGCAGTGCGCACACAGCGAGCAGCTTCTCTCTGCTGAATCTGTAATTAATAAAAGTGTTACTGTGTTAGATGAATGCCTGAATGTTGCCACACGCATGTGGCATGGTAACATAGTAAGTGGGAAAGCTACAGCAGAGTTCTTTCTTATATGATTTTCCTTCAGCCTCCTCTCACTTATCGGAACTGCCTATTTTCAGAGATTACCACTGGACTGAAACCTGAGCTTACACTGGATTATTTTGGTTAGAAGGCCTGAATTTTGCAGCACTTTTGGAACGAGCAAAAGCATCTGGTCTACTGGCCTGAGAGAATGAGGCAGGACACAAAGGTGCAGCAGGTCAGACAGATAACATGGGGCACAACCATTAATAGGAGATTTTTCTGTCCTCCCTTGTGTGGTTTCCAGAAAAATCCTTAAGTCTTTATGCAGTCCTTTCAATATGTCGACAATACACACCACACTTTTAAGCACTTTTAATCTTAAAAGGCTTCTTTTTCTGTTTTCCACCAATAAATCTTGAAGTTGACCTTGAAGATGGTCAAAGGTGGATGTGAGCCAAATTTAAATGGCTTGTTAAGATGACCC